TCCCCAGGAAGCGACTGCGATTCATGGTTTCTTGCATGCCGAAAGGAAGAATTGGAGTGGCCCGTCGAGGTCTCGCTGCGTCGTCGCCCCGACGCCCACCTCTGTTTCCTCGGGCGGGGGGGGCCCGTTCAAGTCTCGCCGCGCCGCCGCCTGCTGCTGCCCCGCTGCCGCGCGCGCGGAGGCCCGTCGCGGTTTTGCCGCGTCGCTGCCCGCTGCCGCTTCGCTGCGGCCTCGCATGTCGAGGACTCGCCGCGTCGCCGCCCGTCGCCGCCCCGCCGCTCCCTCACTGCTGCCCATGCATGTTCTCGTCAGGGGTCCAACGTAGTTCCGCCGCGCCGCCGCCCCTCGCCGCCGCTCGTCGTAGCCATTGCCGCGCACTTGGATGGGAACGTCGAAATTTCGCCGCGCCGCCGCCCGCTGCCGCCTCGCTGCCGCCCGCTAACTTGGGCGGGCCCGTCGAGAATTCGCCGCGCCGCCGCGTCGCCGCCAGCTTCCGCCTCGCTGCCGCATCGCCACCGCCCACTTGGTAGGCCCGTCGAGGTTTCACCGCGTCGCCGTCCGCGGCCGCCTCTCAGCCCCCTCACTGCCCGCCTACCTTTTGAGGCGAGGTTCCGCTGCGTCGCAAGCCATTGTACTCGCCGCTTGGACTGGCAGCCCCACTTCAGCCCCATTCCAATTCTCATTTCTACTTGCAATGGCCCATTGACCGCGGTTCATGATGACAGGACCACTGGTCGAACTGCAACGTCGTCCGATCCCAAGCGCCCTCGCCGTCGGCCCCCTCGGAATGCGCGCGCCAGCGCAGGGCGCCCCACTGGTCTGCAAGCGCCCAGTTCCACGGCCACCAAGACGACGCCGATGCCTCGTGAGATGTCAATTCTCAGCGGGAGCTGCATTGACCTCGCCTGCGTTGCCCTTCATTTCATTCAGCAATGCCTCGCAACATCTGTCTGCTAGCGGTTTGCCACGCTCGATGACCGCCCACCCACTTCCAGGGCCCCCAGCGCGGCGATTCCACACCCTCGCGGGCTTCGTCGAGTCGGCCGCCCCCCGCGCACCCCGCGCCCAGCATGGCCGGCTCGTCCTCGCGCTGCACCGTGACTCCGAAAGTCCTTCTTGGAGGATCACGGGTAGCAGCGGGACTGAATGGGCGCACGTCTGGCAGCGGCTGACCCAGCGCTCGAGGTGAAGCACGCCCGCGCGGCCCTCTGCCCTCCTCGCCAGCGTTCTTCTGGCCGCTGACTGCCGGGCAACTTCTCCGCCCGAATGCGCAGCCATCTCCTCCGCTCGCGCGCCCGCGCGCCCTTGCCTCGACCTCGGCGCGGCCCGGCTGGATGGGGCGCGGGGGGGCCTCGCGGCACCCGCGGCCGCAGCCCCCCCCGCATCTGCCGGCGCGGTGCCCCGCTCATTCCGGGGGCCCTGTCGAAGCCGCCCCTTGATCGACAAGAATTAGCCATGCGCGATTACTTTACGAAGTTGAAGCAAACGTTGTCTCCTGCGGCACCCGGCCTTGCCCGCCGCGCACGCCGCCGCCGTCGCGCTGGCCCCCTTCGCCCCCGACGCCGGGCGCCACGCTGCGACTCAGCGCCGCATCATCGGCCCCGCCCCCCGACGCAAGGCCCCACTGGCAACCCGCCCGGCCCGCGCCGCGCGCCGCCGACGCCACTTGCATCGCCGTTCTACGAGCGCGCATTCAATCTCTCCCCCGGGCCAACCCCCATGTTGGGCGCAAAACTTTTCGCGAGACTCGGTGCTCAGAGACTCTGGCGTCTTGATGCAATCCTGCCGCCAGCCGCCCGACGATTCGCCTGCGCGGATCGCGGCTATCTCGGGAGTTGTAAATCTGCACGGGATTGGCAACGCATGCGAGGGCGCGCATTTCAACCGCTGCTCAATGAAGGCAGTCCGACGCTCAAACAATAACAGATAATCGCTTGCCTTCCTCGGTCTGTCGCGTGTCATTGTCAAACTCATACTCGCCGATCAGTTTGATCATGTCACTGCCGCGTGCCACTTGAATACTTCCACGTGGGCTACCAAGACTTCTCTTTCTTATAGCCCACGCAGCGTGCCCAACTATCCGAGCCCTCGAGCTTTCCATGGGAACGCCCCCCTGGATCTTCATCTCCCCAAGTGACCTCATCCTCGTTTTAGGTGTAGCCATTCATCAATGTCATGTTGCGACTGCGGCTCCACTCGCGATCTGGTAAACCGAATTGCAATCAGCTGTTCACTCAGAAACAGTAGTTCGTCACCTTATTCCCTCGTGTCTGGCACCTCTCCATCCGTAATTTCCAAGTTGGCGCTCAATATGTTAGTTCTCGTCCGCTATCATGATTCACTCGGGCTGGAACGTTGGGCAAACTGCCATCCCATGTGCGACACTTCGGCCAGTCACCGCTGAAGTTTTTCAGCGACTGCATGGCCATTGACTCACGGATTGCTTTTTCATTCCCAAAACCCCTGCCTGGTCCTGGTTGGCCAATGAATTTCGTGAACAAGTTGCTGGCGCTCCACCTATATTCAACGAGTTTCCGATCTTCCTAATCTGCTAGTATGCATTCGGTTTAGTTCCCTGTTTCTTCACGCATGCGACCACGACTGACTGTGCTTATCCGTGCTGCATCTGATTTACCAAAACGCAATGCAACAGCGCTTTCCTGAAACATGTGTTTGGTTGCCGCTCGCCTCTGCTCACCAATACGATGCGTGGTCTCGTTGGATTCAGTTTGTAGGGCAGCCGCGACGAACTCGAAATCACCTGCTTGGCACGCAGCCAACCTGCTTGGCACGCACCCAAGCATAGTGTTCCAAAGTGGACCTGGCTGAAGTCGAACCACTCTTGACGTGTAGCCAGTACTCTCTGCGCGGGTCCAGCCATGACCTCGTTCTGCCACCATCCAAACTTTCACAGATGATATAATTGAGGATGTTGCTGAAATCTTCGGTGACAAAAACAGCACAGCTACTTTCTGCAAGGGTGCCGCTGGGCGGCGGCCTTGACTCCTGGAGCCTATTTGCCCAACAATCAAAATCAGAAGGCGGGATGACACCGCAGGCAGCGTGCGCATAAAGCATATTACGTGAAGAGAAACGCCGAGCAAACGCACTGCTCACCAACGCATCCCTGTGGAAGGAAAACGTCCGGCACACGCGCGGAAGAGAGGGGGTTAGAGGCTCAGGGAGGGTAGAGAGAACGGCAAGCGAAACAGGCAGCACGTGCTTTCAAACAAGCCGAGCTCCATCATGCCACCGCTGTCGTGGACGAGGGGTTACCCGTCTCGTATCCGCGCGCCCGGCATGAACGCTGTAGCTGTTCTTGGTGCCAGCATTCGCCTTGCCAGTGTAAATTGTGCGCCGCCCAGGAACGGCGATTGCATGGCCGTTCATGGTGCCGGCGCCAGTCCAACACCCGTACGTATACACTGAAGATGGTTCCACCAACGCGCCTCTGCTTACAGAGGTCATTGGCCTCCCGGGCCTCTCGGCGAAAAAAATGGCAAGCGCCTTCTACACGGCCTGCCGCGGCACCCGCCTCAGAATACTGACAATGCGGCACTGACACGTATCGACCCGCCCTTCCAGGGTGGTGGCTGGCGGCCACATGCTGCAACGAGAATCGAACACAGCCAGCACCGAGCGATCAAGAAGGCGAAGACGTCGCCGCAGAGGGACGTGCCGCAATCCATGCAATGCACACTTGGCCCAAACAGCACGCCACACGGCGGCCATGGCTCTGCCGACACACATCGTGCACGATCCCGTACCCTCCAGGATGTGGCCAACATCTTCACAAAAAGCAGATTGCTTCCAAACGGCTGTGTCCGAAACGGACGCATCCCCTCCTGCAGGAACCATGCAAAACATGCTGGAATCATTGATGCGGAACCCCCGATTGAAGAAACACGGGGACTCGAGTATATCCAACAAACACGTCAAACTACAAAGGGAATTGCTTACGAATACATGCTGCCAACGTATGTGGCAATGGCGATGTGCTGGGCTTCGTCTAAGAAGCCCCGCCGCCGGCAGTCATCTAGCATCTTCTCGAGCGTCGCCTCGACTGGAACACGGCCTAAGACACCGGCCACCCGGCTCCCAGTGACACTCCCGCGGGATCGCTTGCCCAGCTCCGCATCGACGTCACCAACGCACAAACTCGCTACTTGAAGCAACTGATGGCGAGCTGCTGCTGCTGCTGCTGCTGCTGCTGCTGCTGCTGCTGCTGATGCTGATTCTGCTGCTGCTGCTGCTGCTGCTGCTGCTGCTGCTGCTGCTGCTGCTGCTGCTAGCAGCAGCTCGAATGGCATGCCTCGAGAAACGCACCACTGCAACACCCCCAAAAAAGGGAGAGAGTCGTGAGTCATGAGGCTTCAATATCGCTCTGAGACATCGCCGATTGGCTGACATCGTCCAGGCCTCGCTCGACAACGAGGTGCGTGGTGTCCAGTGCTTGCGTGAATGGCCGAGCTCCGACCCAGCAGCACTGTGGCACGATCAACCAATCCAAAACATAGTGATCAGCCGGGAAGGACATGATGACTCGGAGCTGCGTGGGTTTGGGAGTGGAGGTTCCCTTCCCCCTCACGTGCTTCGCAGCACCAACCCTCGACATGGCAACGCTAGAGGCCACTGATGCGTTAAAACAGCGAGTAGTGAGATCCAGAGCGCACTTGTAAATCAAATGGCGCATATGCACACAACGCCCGTCATGATCAAGTTTGCCTCTATGTTTTGGGCGTGCGACCGCGGCCGACACGTCTGCAGCAGTAGCAGTAATTTGGTGTCTGTAAAACAAGCAGCACCTCCTCCTCCTCCCCATCCTCCTCCTCCTCCTCCTCCTCCTCCTCCTCCTCCTCCTCCTCCTCCTCCTCTACTTTCATCCCTCCCTCTCGGATCCCTTCCTCCCTCCTTCCCCACCCCACCCCACCGCGTACCCACCCCAACACAACGCTGGAGTGGTGGGGCTGGTGGTGCAGCAGGGGCCTCCCCAGGGCATCCTCGCGTGCGCCCTTGTCATCGGTCGCCTCGTCGAAGTCGGGCAGCTCGTCGGCCTCGAAGGCAAGGAGAGTGAGGCAGGAAGCAGGGAGGAAGACGAGAGCGACTGGGCGAATCCGCCGGCCCCCTTGTGGGGCCACCAGGCTGTAGGCGCGAGGTTCGCAGTTTCCTGTACCAGTTGTAGATTGTAGTTTCCAGTGTTACAGTTCTGCTTCTTGCTGGTTACTGTAACTAGTTGATTGACCGCGCGAGGGGGGGGGAGGCCCAAACGGGATTTTTAGCGTCTCCTGGGCGCGTTGTCTGAATTGCTGGGGGGGCTCGAAATCGACACCCCTTACGCAGATCCGCGGGGTCAGGGTCCAAAAACACATGGGATTTGCCACATTTCTGAAATTCGGTGCCACCCCTCACGCAGATCCGCGGGGTCAGGGTCCAAAAACATTTGCCACATTTCTGAAATTCGGTGCCACCCCTCGCAGATCGCAGATCACGCGATCCGCGGGGTCAGGGTCCAAAAACACAGGGATTTGCCACATTTCTGAAATTCGGTGCCACCCTTCACGCTCATCCATCGCAAGGCGTGGTAACCCAAACTGCGAGAACTCCCTCGGCCCTTTAATCGCAAGGTGTGGTAACCAAGCCCGTAAACCATACACGTCTTACCAATCGCCAGGTGTGGTAACCCCTCTTGTGATCAGTTGGTTTTGCTGATTGCGAATCGGCTTCGCATGAAGTTTCGATACTGCTTCACGACAGCGCCAAGGCCTCATGACTTAGCTCTTCCATGGCCCATTCTCCGAGAGAGGGGGCCGGCGGCAGGGGGCGAAGCCCTTACGGATTACAACATTCGGAGCGCATGTCTGCGCGCATACGCAGCGGCATGCCTCGGCCACACGCTACGAGCACAGCACTGCTGACATTTACTTCCGCTGCATGTGAGGGATTTGCCTTCGCTGTCCACTTGGCCCGAACTGTAGCCCTCAAGCTCAAGACGAAGCCATGACGAGGATAACATCGGGTGAGGACAAATCGAGAATCTCTGAGATCCGGCGGCTCTGGAGGATGTCTCGGGCGCCGCGGCCTTCTCAGAGCGTTCCGGAACGCTCTACGGGCGTTCCGGAACGCTGTGGAACGGATTTTCCTCGTCTTAGCCCCGCCCGAGAGCTACTACGCGTGCGGTGTGAAAACATTATCGAATACTGTTCTTATTGTTCTACAGATTGCAGATCGTCAAAAACTTCGGGAGCTTTGATCAATTCATGTTGATAGCGGGTCCAGTCACGACTGGTTCGCACCCTCCACATCTCCAGAGCGTGCTGGACAACCAGCGCGGCAGCAAGGACGACAGCCGCAACAGCAGCCGCAACCAGGGATCCACCTCCAGCAAGGTCCTCGCCTTCAGCGACAGCGATGACATTTTCGGCCTCACTGAGCTCAGCATCATCACGATGGCGAAGGGCAGTGGCTACACTGCGTGGGACGGCATGGTAGCTCAACCAGACAGAGCTCACTCCTCCTCCTCCTCCTCCTCCTCCTCCTCCCCCTCCTCCTCGAAACTGACTCTGGAGAAGACCGGAGGCGAAGCAGCTCTCTTGCTGGCAGCAGGCTTCACTGGCAAAGCCTGGGACGAGATTGATGACATCCCCACCGACGACCTGACGAAGCCAGGCGCAGCATCTTAGCTCATGGACAAGCTACAGTCGGACTTGATTGGACACGACACGCGAGAGGACACAAGACCATTCCGAGCGCTACATTGCCATAGGAATGTAGGAGGCATAGGTCGCGAGACACAGGACACAAGGGTACCCTTCATTTGGCAGGATCGAACTACTAATCAGTGCCGTCTGTACGAAAGAGATTCAACATGGACGACCAGACAAAGCTGGCAGACGACTTCGAGTAGTGGTGCTGCAGGAGGGAGCGTACGAAGGGTGAGACGCTTTTCTCCTACATCTCCCAGATAAGAGCAGCGGAGCGCAAGCTCAAGACCCACGACGTCCAGCTACCAGCCGAAGTTCGAGGTTGGCTAGTTCTGCGACGCGGCGGCTACATCTCAGACCAGAAGGCCGTGATCATGTCCATCGTCGGCAAAGACATCACCCGGGACACAGTACTACGTCGATGAAGATGACGAAGATTGCCCAGAGGAGCAGGAATACCACGTTCAGGACTACGACGAGCCCGAGTTGGAGGAAGGGTACTGGCAGCAGTACTGGGCCGAGGGCGACGACAACTGGCACGACTGCGACGAAGACTACTACCAGCCCGACCCCAACGCCAGCCAGGACTACGATGTCGCTCAGTTCGGCGATGTATACGCGGCCTACACGGACGCGAGGAAGCGGTTCAATGACCTACGCCTACCTCGAGGATTCTACCCAGTCGCGTCGATGGTGGAGCCTGGTAGCAATAGTAGTGGCCCCTCCAGACAAAAGGAAAATTAGCAGGACGAGGCAGGTCAAAAGGCAAAGGCGGACGATCATCATCCAACGGCAGCTCTGGCCGTAAGAAGGAATGCAACATCCGCTCAAAAGAATCCCTACGTTCGGCCACGGCCGAGTGCAGCGCAGCGAGAGGACGCAGCGAGGAGACCAACCCCAAGGACCGAGGAAGCAACCACACAACAACGACAGCATGATGGTAGACGAGGTATACTGGGACGAACGGTGGCGCGACGACGTTCATGTCAGGACAGAACACCATCAAGGGCTCCCTCAAGAGGCCCGCAGCAAGGGCTACCCGATCGAGCAGCTCAAGTGCACGCGGCCATTCCGCTTCGGGAACGGCAAGATCAAGCGCGCACTCTGGTGCGGCGTGATCCCAGCGAGTATCAAGAAGCGCAAGGGCATCCCCTACATCTGCGTGGCGCCAGGGCGAACGCCCATGCTGTTCCCGAGGCCCCTGCTAGAGGAGTTCAGGGTCCAGGTCGACTACGCGACTCGGAAGATATCCTCAGGCGCCGAGTTCAGGGACGCGACGCTCTCCCCACAAGGCCATTACATGGTGGACCTACTGGAGGACCTGGACGACATGAAAGATCAAGTGGAGTTGGACTATCATTACGAGCCCGTGGACGCGAAGCAGTTCTAGAGCAGGACGGGGACAGCATCAGCGCCATGCAGTTCTTAGACGAGATCTACGAACAACCCGACGAGGTGTTCGTAGCACCCATCTGCGAAGCTTGGTCAAACATTCGGCGTTTCGACATTGGGCGGAGGTGGGGGGGAGGGGGGGGTCCAATTCCGGACCTCTGCTTAAGGCGACTGTTTGGAACCGTGCGTCCTCCGGGGGAGACTCCACCTGCTCGAAACAGGCGCCAAACACACCCAAGATCCACTCCACGGGGGAGGGGGGGGGGCGAGGGTCCGCGCCGATCGGCAAAACAATGAATAAGAAAACGATCACCGTGCAGGAGTTGAACATTCACCGGCATCCCAGATGCAAGGGAGTGTCTCGCGGAGCTGCGCGGGTGGCATCATCGAAAGCATCCGAGGTTCACGGCGGACGTCGACCACGTGCAGCAGCAGGGGCGGACGACGCGCACACGTCGGGCAGCCAGCCCGCTGCACCGAGAGCCTGGCACGGCGGCGCTCTCGAAGCCCACGGGGCACGAGGCCGCGTTCGGCCGGCGCGTGCACGGCCTGACCACACCGGGCAGTGACCTGCCACGACCGGGACAGCCAAGAAGCACGTGGCGACCATCGTGACGACGACGTGCGGTCGAGCCCATCCGCACACAACGCTGGGAGGCAGCGTCAACGGCGCACGCATCGAGCGCACGAGGTACGCGGAGAACTGCCCCCCTTCACGCTCGCAGCCACGTTGGCTCGGGTCGTGGCGGAGCACGAGATCGGGGATCTCTACAGCGGCGAGGGAGGACAGCACCGAGGACACCAACGCCACCGACCCCAGCGAAGAGAAGAGGAGGAGACAATTCACGCACACCGGCAACTTCGCGAGAAGTACGGCACGGAGGCACCACGACACTACGATACGTCAAGCGACTGCATCGGAATATGGGCCACCCCAGACCGTTGGTCCTGCACCGACTGCTACAGCCAGCGGGCGCACAGGACAGCGTCCTGCAATGCACATCTGAATATCGATGTGAACACTGTGTGGAGCGTCAGCGACCTCCAAAAGCACCCGACGCCAGCGTGAAACAGGCGACGAAGATCAACGAGACGATCTACACCGACGTGTTCTGGATCAGGACGGCGACTGGCAAGGCAGCAGTACTCTCGATGGTAGACGGAGCCACCTGGTACTGCCCACTACGACCCATCAAGACAGAAACGGCGGACAAGCTAGTCAAGGCAGTCGAGCGAGCCTGGATCAGGCAATGCGGCCCGACGAATGAGCTCAGGATGGACGACGGCTCGGGATTCGCATCCGAGAGGTTCACGCAATTCTTGAAGAAGCAATGGATACTCATCGTGATCGCGGCAGGCGAAGCTCACGCCAGACTGGGAATAGTGCAGCGACGCCACCAACTAGTGAGAGATGATATCGAGCTCTACTGCAACGACGCGATCGAGCGAGGAGCCAACACCATAATCAAAGAGGAGCTGATCACCGAGGCGTGCACCTACGTACCTCACCAGGTGAACCGACTGGCGTTCACCAAGGGATCTGCTTCATGCCAATGGGCACTCGGCGTGGACCTTAAGATGACTATTACGAACTCCAGCGACAAGTTCTCACCAGCCACCCTCTACCAGATGAAGGAGGACGAGGGCTTCAACAACGTGCTGGAAAAGCGCTCGATGGCTGCGACAGCCTTCACAAAGGCAGACGCCTCAGCCAAACTCAACCGCGCCCTCCTACGACGACACGTTGCTCTCAAGCACGACTTCATCAGTGGACAGTGGTGCTACTACTGGCGCGAGGGCAAGACGAACAAGCTCATCAAGAATAAATGGAAGGGACCAACCATCGTCGTATTCAAGGCGATGCGACCAGACGATGTGGGCCCCGGGATCTACTGGATCGTGCGCGGCACCCAGCTACTCCGATGTGCCCCAGAGCACATACGACTCGACGTGAGCGACCA